AGAGTAGTGGAAGGGCAATGGATTTGGATTTAGAATTAGATTCAGATGCTGACACTTTCACTTATTGCTTGGGTGACTTAAGCTAGGCCCACTCCATTCTGGACCTCAGATTCTTCATCTGTTGAAATAAGGGATTCGGAGGAGAGCTTCTCCAGTGTTCTGCTCAGCTCTGGCATCCTGTAATCAGAGTGGTCTAGCCACAGCTGATTCCATTGGATGACCATTAACCAACCAGTGTTCCCTCATCCAATGGAAATCTCCTTCCTGGTCGTCGTTTAGTTCTGCTTGTCTTTCTTTTTGAGGCCCAACAGGAACCTACTGGGATCATTTGCATAGTTACATGCAATGCCTTTCCTATAGTTGCTGTTTTCCTCAGTTGTCAATGTGCCAAGAGGTTTGGATTGCTTCTAGGATAAAATACACTCTTCAACTCGGCATTTAAAGCCCTTTTCAATCTGATTCCAGCCTACCTTTGCAGACTTATTACGTACAGTTCCCTCCACCCACTCGATGTTCCAGGCAAACTGGCCCTGCTGTTTCATCTTCCATCTTCCTGCCTTTGCTCTGGCTGTCCCCCAAGCCCAAGATGCTCCCTGTCTCTCAGCATGCCTGGCTTCTTTCAAAGCTCAGCTCATATGCCACTTCCTAAGAGAAGGCTTTCCTGATTACCCTAGCTATTAACACTGTCTCCCTTCTCAAATTAACATGCATTTACTCATCTGTGTCCATCCTGCCTGGTAGAATATGAGCCCCTGGAGCAGGACTTGGTGTGGGGTTTTGCTTTTGGTGTTGTTGTTTGGTTTTGTCTATTCTCTTTGTATCTCCAGTGACTAGCATGGTGCCCGACACACAGTAGGCACTCAATAAATGGATTGGGTTGGGTTCTGATTCTGGATGCATAGAGTTCTCTTCCTGATTTTCAGTCAGAACACTAGAATACATCATGCTAAAACTCATGGCAGGTGGCTAAGAGAAAAATCTGATTAAAACATCTGATTGGTCATTGTTCTCATGGTCATCATCATCATCATCATCATCTTCTTCATCACTGAGATGCTTACCAAACCTAGGTTTCAAAGAGCTCTTACTCACATTTCCCCATTTGATCCTTACACCTACCTGATGTAAGCTCTTTGTAAACCTTAAGGTGTGCTATGTAAATGTTAATTATTATTAGTAGTAGTATTGTTATATAACTTATTTTTGAGAGGCAATGTGGTGTAATGAAAATAACTAGTATTCATATAATTGCTTACTATGTATGTGTTTGGTACTGTGCTCAGTGTTAGAGATACAAAGAAAAAGAAAAATTTATCTGCCCTAAAAGAGCTTACATTCAACTGGAGGCAACATATACATAGAGAATTATATACAGTACAAGATACATAAAAGATGTTATATACAGTACAAGATACATACAGATGAGATAGAAAGTATACTTTGAAGGGAATACATTGACAACTGGGTGTATGTGTGGTGGGAGTGGGGGTGAGGGGAGTAAGGAAAGGCCTCCAGCAGAAGGTGGCATTTGCGCTGAGTTTTAAAACAGAGGTTGTAAGAGGCAAAGATGAGAGGAAAATGTATTCCAGGCATGGAAAACAGCCAGTGCAAAAGCATGGAGGTGGGGGATTGTGTGAGGAACAGAAAGTAGGTCAGTATGACTGGACTCCAGTGAGCATATCGGGAAGTAATATATAAGAAAACTGGAAAGGTTCAGGAAGGGGCCAAAGCTTTAAAAAATGTGTGTGTGGGGGGAAATAGTTTATATTTGCTCCTAGAAGTTACAGCGAGGTATTGGAGAGCAGCTAGGGGGTGACAGAGTGCCAGACTTGGAGTCAGGAAGACCTAAGTTCAAATCCAGCCTCACATACTTACTAGCTGAATGACCCTGGGCAGGTCACTTAACTCTGTTTGCCTCAGTTTCCTCATCTGTAAAGTGGTCTGGAGAAGGAAATGAAAATCATTCCAGTATCTTTTGCTAAGAAAACCCCAAATGGGATCGTGAAAAGTCACTACAACTGAAAAATGAATATTGTGTCAATCACATTTTAATCTGGTTTGTACCCAAACATTTACTAGCTGAGTGACCTGAGCAAGTCATTAAGCCTCTGTTTGCCTCATTTTCTCCACCTGTAAAATGAGCTGGAGAAGGAAATAGCAAACCATTCTGGTTATCTTTACCAAAACCAAAACAAACAAAAAACCCCAACCAAAATTATGAAGAGTTGGACTTAACAAGGTTGGAGTTTATTGAGTCTGGGGGGTGAGGTGGTTAGATCTACGATTTAGGGAAAGCAAGACAGTCCCTGCCCTCAAGGAGTTTACTTTCTAAGGGGAGAAAACCCAAGAAGACCTAGAAAGGTATGGGTTATAATGATCTCAGTGGCATGGTAAGGATGAGATGTGGCATCAGAGCTTCATTTGAAGCTAGGTAAGGCAAAAGCAAGTCAATTAAGAAGCAAGTATCAAGCGCCTACTATGTGCCAGGCGCTGTGCTAAACTCAAAGAAAGACAAAGCAGCCCTTACTCCCAGGAGTTTAGTGTAATGAGGGAGACAAAACGCAAACAAGTTATAGACAGGATAAATTGGAGATGATATCAGAGAAAGGGCAAGAACATTGAAGAGAATTGGGAAAGGCTTCTTGCAAAAAGTAGGCCTTTTGCTGAGACTTGAAGGAAGCCAGGAAAGCCAAGACGAAGTGGAGATAAGGAGGAAAAGGGTTTCAGGTATGGGGGGAAGCCAGAGAAAATGCAAAGAATGGGGAGATGGAATGTCCTGTACCAGCAACAGCAAAGAAGCCAGCGTTTTACTGCATTGAAGAGAAAGGGGGGTGTGACTAGAAAAGTTAAGAGTCGGCTGGGTTATGTATGAAGGGCTTTAAAATCCAAACAGAGGATTTTATATTTGATCCTGGAGGTAATGAGGATTCACTGGAGTTTGCTGAATGGGGAGAGGGGAGTTGTGACGTGATTATGGTAAGGAAGATCAACTTGAAAACCAACTGGAGTATGGGCTGGAGTGGGGAGACACTTGGGACAGGGAGACCAACTAGCAGTCTATTGCAATAATCCAGGCACACAGTGATGAGGGCCTGCCTGCAGCAGGGTGGTGATAGTGTCAGATGAGAGAAGGGGGCATATAGGGGAGTTATTGTGAAGGGAGAAGGAGCAGGCCTTGGCAACAGGTCAGATAAGAGGGATGAAAGAAGAAGAATGTTGAGGATAAGAATGGCACTTATCAGAGCTGGGGGACTAGGGCTCTATGTTCTGGGGTGGGGGTGGGTTGGAGGAAATGAGGATGGTGGTGGAAGCCGACAACTATGTTGAGATGGCTGGAAAATGCCTTGGAAGACTGTTTCCAGGCAAAATAAAACAGAACGTCAGAGCTAGCAGGGCCCTTAGAGCAGAGAAAGTCAGAGCCGGGAGGGGCCCTAAAACAGAGAAATGTCAGAGTTGGGAGGGTCCTTAGGATACAGAATGTCAGGTCTGGGAAGTACCTTAGAATATGGAATGTCAGGTCTGGGAGGGACCTAGAAGCCTGGTTTGTTAGAACTACAAGGGACTTTAGAGGTCATTTAGTCCAACCCCCTTAATTTTTCAGATGAGGAAACCGAAGCCCGGAGAAGCCAGGTTTGCCCAGCTGGCCAGCTGCAGCAGCACCAGTACCAGCAGAGAGCCTCGTACGCTGGGAACCCGCTGAGTCTTCTGATTTCAAGCACAGTCCGGACTCCTGGGGACAGTTTTTCCTTCCCGGGCCAGCTCCTAAACCTCTCCGGCGGGCGAGCCCCGACCCTCCCCCACCCCGTGCTCCACCCAGGCAGCCCGGGGCAGCGCCACTGCCCGGGACTCCAGCTAGTCAGTTTCCTCCGCCTTTCCCCTCCCCTCCCATGCTTTCCCCTCTCCTCCCCCGCCCTCGCTCCTCCCCGCTCGCCTCACTTCCCCATTCCGGGCCCCGCCCGCTGGGGCCGCCCAGCGCCGCGCTCCATACTTGGCTATGGCTGGGGAGCCGCATTCTCATTGGCGGAACGGAGCGGTGCGGGGCAGGGCCAGGCCGAGCCGGGGGCGGGGCGGGGCGGAGGAAGGCAGGGAAGGGAGGGAGACAAGGCGAGGCGAGGCCGGGGGGGGAGGGGGCGGAGGAGGGGGCGGGGGAGCCGGTGACCCGGATGTTCACTCCTAGGCACCCGGGGAAGTGGAAGCGCCGGGCCGTGCTGCTGCTGCCGCCGCCGCCGCCGCCGCTGCTGCCGGAGGAGAGTCAGACACAGCGGGACCGACCGGGACTGGAAGTGGGGCCGCCGCCATGGTAAAGGCCTGCCCTGCCCCTGTCCACCGGAGTTCCCCTTCCTGCCCGCCTCTGCCCCTTCCGAGGGTGGGCCCTGCGGGGGGCGAGGGACACTGCTGGGGGGAGGGGCTGCTGCCTTGAGCAGGCAGCTTGCTATTTTGGGGAGGGGGCGCACTGGCTGCTGGGGGAGGGGGACTGGGAACCGTTGCGGGGAGGAGCTAGCCCTCTGGAGGGGGAGGGTCTCCCTGACTGTTGGGGGAGGGGCTGAGGAAGGGGTCTGCTTCCCCAGGGAGGGGCAAGTGGGTGGGGGGAGTTAGAAAGACTTGGACTTTGGGGCCCTAGGAGAAGTCGGGGCTGGGCCGGCCTAGGGCTGAGGGGACTGACCCTGCCCCAACCCCGTCCCCACCCACTTCCTGGGCTCTGGCCCCGACTGGGGGCCATTCTGGGCCCCTTCCCCCAGGCCTTCCTGTTCCTGCTCTCCTGTTCCCCTAATCACCAGCCAGGGGAACCCCCCCTACACGTGTAGCCCCTGTGCCTTCAGCCGGGAGGGCGCAGAACGGGTGGCCCAGGCCGTGGTGGGCAAGGCGGGGGGCCAGATTTGGGGGTGGCAGTCCAAGGAGTCAGGGCTTTCAGGTATCTGGGGGGAGACGTTTTAGGAGGGAGATAGGGGCATGCAGGCAGCCGGGCTTCTCCAGGCACCAGCTGTTCTTTCCCTCCTCAGTCTCAGCCCCATGAGATGCGCTGGGTGCCTGCCTCTTGGAGTGGTTGGCAACCTGGCTTCCTGCGACCCGAGGGCCAGGGATGGATGGCTGAACCTCCCTCGGTCACAGTGGGAGGGGGGAGCTGTCAGCCCGAGGGAATGAGCGCACAATCGGGCCCCTGTCACTCAGGAGCATTTATTGAACGCCCACTGTACAGCGAGCAAACTGTACCAGGCACCATGCAGCCCGTGCAAAGGCGCTGTTTTCTGTCTAACCTGAACAACCAGGTGGCAAAAATTAGAAGTGCCTCTTTTGGAAAGACTTTGGGAAAGGTGAGCTCTGTTCTTGGTGGTTTTGTTAATGAAGCTCCAGAGCCCTCCAAGCACAACCCTTGCTCTTCTTTGACAATCCATACTGTGTTTCTAGGGTGGGGTGGGGAGCAGGTTATGGGACCTTAGGACTGCTTGTAGGTGAAGCATATTAGACTGATTGCCTGATTTAGATGGAAACTTCACTAGAACCGTCCAAGCCCATGGTCTCAGGCTTTACTGTCTCACCTAGGACAAGTGGTTTTTCAGTCTCCCAGACCAAAAGAGCCGGGAAGATCACCTGTTTTGGTAAGATGTTAGGATTGTTTTTGTTGAATTCAGTAAGATCTTGGAAGCCAGGGGGGCTCAAACTCTAGGTCCTACTACTGTGACTGTGGACTAGGCCTAGGTGACATAGGAGGTTTAGAGCTGGAAGAAAGGATCCTGGAGATTGTGATTCCAGCAAACCCCTTTCATTTTACACATCATCGAAACTCCTGCCCATTGAGCTCAAGTGACTTGGGCAAAGTCACCTAGGTGTGCAAGCTGAGATTTCAACCTAGTTCCCCTTGACTCCAGACCTGGTTTTTTCCACTGTATTTTTTTCCCCAGTACTAGGTTAGCTACTGTTATAGGTTCCATGAGGGTCAGAAAACTAGCCACTAAGGGATGATTTTTCCCCCCTCTGTAGTATACTCATTAAGGGTTGCAATCTGTAAAGTATCATAGGGGTCATGGAATTAGAGCTGGAAGGGCATTACAGGTCGTCTCATTTTCAGGATGAAATGATAATCAAAGGTTGTGACTGGCTTAAGGTCACACAGCAAGATGGGATTCAAACTTAGTTTCTGTCTCTAAATCCAATGAAAGTTTGGTGAATTCTCATGTTGGATGAAATTTTACTCCTTGGCTTGTAGAATTAAGTTCATACACTTCAACTTGCAGAGTTGGAAGGGATCTTAGAGGTCTAGTCCACCCATCCCCAAAGCTGAAGGGAGTCTTAGGGGATTCCTGATTATCACTGGGGGGCTGGGGACCTTGCTGTCTCCTGAGGCAGTCCCTTTTCAGTCAGCAGTAATCATTGTAAACAGAATTTGCCTACTTGCATTTTAGTTTTGCATCTAAGGGCCAAGCAGAGCAAGTTTCATCATCCCTATGGAAACATCTTCATTTTCTGGGGATCTCTTTAAACATTAAAACTTGATAGTTGGACTTATGAGGAAAGTTTGTAGGTTCTTTGAAATTCCATTTAAACATAACACCTAGTAGTCTTTGTCATTTAGTCATAGAAAGACAGTGAGCATCTGTTCATACTTGAGAGTTTGATAGTTGTCTTCCTTTTCCCAAATGAGTGAATGATTTAGTAGTATTTTCCCCCCACCCCATGTAGCAGCTTAATGGCTTTTCTGTTCTGGAGGTAATTTCATGAGGAAACCCAATCTAGAAGAGCTATATGATATGAAGAGAGATATGATATATTGGGTATAAGAGGGTCCAACCCACTCAGTTTAACACGACAAAGAGCCTGAGGCACAGAGAAGTCAAGGGACATGTGCACCCCAAGTTAGGCCCAGGTGTCCAGACTTCTTTTTCAGTGAGAGTGTTTGCAGTGATGATGGTCATGTGTCTGGAATTGGTCTATTCTTTTGGATACTTCCTGTTTGGGTGTAGGTTTAGGAGCCTTGAGTTTTACACTCATCCTTTGAGACCTGTAGGGCCAGTGTCTGTCTGCTAGGCCATAATTCAGTTGAGTTCCTGAGGCTTCTTGTTTGGATCCATGGTCTAGATAGCAAAAATCAGGCAAATGCTTGACTAATACCACTGGATCCTGTTAAACCAGTTTTCAGAGTTGGGAAAATGGAGGCTTGGTGATCTGAATCTAAAGTCGCTTAAAAAACGAATTTGACATGATTATGTCTTTCTCTCCTGGACATGAAGTAGCTAGAGCCTTGAGTTGAGATCTCCTACCTCTGCCACTAGTAGCAGGACCTAGGGCATACCTGGGTGTCAGTGTCCTCATCTGTAAAATGAAGGAGTCAGATTATAAACTCTGAACACCTTTTCAGTGCCTGAATTGTGTGAATGTGTTTAGCAAACAGTCATTCGTCTATTCTTCAAGGAGGAAACTTTCCTAGCACCTTGATATTTCAGCAAACTCTGATTTTGTTTGTAAGGGCTCTCTCTCTCCTGATCTAGGTATACCACCTCTCCACCCCTCGGTTGGCCAGAAACTCCTTGTTGCCAGCCCTCTTAGGATGAGTTGATCCTCCATGATGAGGAGATTGGACTTTGATGAGAGACAGAGAATGCTCCAAGCCTTTCCAGTGTGCTGATACCGTAGGTCAGGCCTCAGTGCCTACAGATCCTGTAACTACCACCTGGGTGGGGCATTGAAGGAAAAGAATGGACTGAGAGAACACAAAAGTTTGACCTCCTTGGACTTCTCTTTCCTTATCTGTAAAATGAAAGGCTTATACAGGATGACTCTTTTCAGCTTGGGATCATAAGACTTTGGAAAGACTTTAATTTTTATTTTGTGGTAGCAAATTTTCCTTCTTGGATTGTGCTCTGTTAATGAAATTAGTTTCCATTCCCAAGGGTGTATACACCCTCAAGGCAGTGGGTGGAGGCAGCCTGGGATCAGTGTAGACAAATTAAGTGCAAGAGAAAACTTTCACTGTGAATAATTGGCTCTTTGGAGAAAGTCCACAAGTGACCCGGCTACATCATAGGCTCATAGATTTGGAGCTGCAAGAGACATTAGAGGCCATCTTGTCCAACCTTGCTTCATTTTATAGTTGAAAATAGAAGGGGCTTTGTTGGGGTCACAGGTCATGCATGAGTGAAGAGCTGAGGCCGGATTTCTTCCCAGCCTGGTCCTTGGACTGCAGATCCAGTTCACTCTCCACAGCATGCCATCTAATCAATCCAGGCTTCTCCTTCTGATGGTGAAAGTAGACCTTCATAGGAGTGTTTTGACAGGAAGAGCTGAGTTGTAATATGGTTACAAGTGTAACGTTGAAAAGTATGTACTAATGTGTCCCTCTAGGCCTTTTGGTTTGTATAATGGTGCATACTTCAGCTGTCCCACTATACAGTATGCAGGTAGGCTGGCCTCGTTCCCTTGTGGCCTGTTCTCAGTGTGAACTTGTTAGGGTGGTAAGGTTTTCTTTTGATACCCCTGCTCTCTGGGCCAGGTAGGTGTCTAATCAATGCTTGAAGCCTGGTGGAGATCATATGGGATCAATTGACTTTCAGCCTTGACTGCCAAGAGTGCACTCCTGGACAAAGTCACTTAAACTTTCTGAGTCTCCATTTTCTTCTCTGCTGTGAAGTGCTTGTATCTCATTTAATTTTGAGGCTGAAATGAGAAGATCCATGTATATAAAGTACTTAACTGTTCCGGAAGTTCTTTGGAAGAGCAGATAGATAGCCAGACTTGGGGTTAGGTAGACCTGGGGGGTTCAGATCCCATCGCTGATACTTCAGTGTTTATTAAATGCTTTCTGTGTACCACCCACTGTGCTAAGGAGCTGTTTGCTCTTTTGAACACTAAGAGGTATCAAATAGTGGAAAGAGCGAGCCCCAGGCTTGAGATCAGAAGCCCTGGCTTTAATTGCTAATAGCTCCCATTTATATAGTACTTTGATGTTTACCAAGCACTTTGTATGTGTATTATTTCACATGTTTGCACAAACACCCTGTGAGATACACTTCAATGTCTTCTATTGAAAGTTGAGTGCAGACTGTCACTTTTGGTGGGTTCAGCAAATGCTGAGTGTGACAGGCAGCTTGTAAGCCTAGGACGGCCTGAATCCAGGACCAGAGCTGTATCCAGTGATGGCTCTGGGACCTTGGGCCAAGGCTCTTACTTAACCTCTTTGGTCCTGAGTTTCTTCCTCTGTAAAATGAGGGGGCTAGAATGGACTAAGATTATTTATGGGTGAGGGCCTTTCCTGCTTTAAATCTGTGACCTTTTGGGGCAGCCCAGCTCAGACTAATGCTCTATTCCTCAAACTATTCTCTAGCCGGTGGTGGCACCAGAGGACATGTGGGGAGAACATACTAGTTGTCCTTTGTGACATCTTCCTCAAAGGTCATATGGATCCCATCCAGATGTCTCCGACTTCTCATTTAGCAGCTTGTTAAGTGGTAGCCTACATGAACTGAAGATTTGTTCTCACAGGCCTCATAATGTTTTACAGATAAATTCATCATCTCCTTATTCCCCAAGAGGCCTGGAGAATACTGCATATTTGCAGGTTAAGACATAAATGACCAGTAACAAATAGAACTTGGCACTTGGCTATCCTTTGCTCAAAACACTATCATATTCCTTTTCTCTTGGAGTAAACAGTGTTATCCTTTGCAATTTGGGATCAGCTATGAGGCTATTATCTTAAAAATAGTCTTGGCTAAATCCTTTAATGATGTTTTATAAGATGCTTCAGCCTTGCTGGCTAAATTGCATTTGTTAAAGGAAATATTTTTAATTAAAAAATATTGGGTGAGATGGAAGTTTGAATTTCTAAAGCATGTATGATCTGTCTCACTTTGAAAATGATACTTTTAAAAACTGAGGCAGGATGAGAGGGTAGCAAATAGTGGCCCATTGGTATTAATAGTAACTTTTTAAAAAAAATAATAACTTAACGATGCCAACCTGCTTGTTTAGTACTTTTCAATTTACAATATACTTTCTCTCATTTAATCTTCCCAGTGATGCTGTAGAAGGATAAGTAATGTTATAGTAGAGTTATCCCTTCTACATTGTGGTTTTTCCCATGATGGTTTCAATATATCCATGGCTTAACCGAAGAAATTAAATGGGAATTTTGAGGGGAGTTTTGCAGAAGCCACTAATAACACGCGAAGGCTAGCAGACAACACAGAAAAAGTTTAGAAAGTCAGAAATACATAAAATATATGTATACGCTGTAATAATTCAGACTTCTTCTCTGGTATGAAGGGAAGGACAAAAATTTTTATGCGGATTTTCCAGATTGTGGGGGCGCCACATCCAC